TACGCTGAATAATTCACCTAGTGAATTGGCCCCACCCCTTGGCAAAAACCACACCTGCTTGCAGTAAAATTATATTCATACATACATACATATTTACATATTCGTATGTTGTTGTACAAAATTTCATACTCATATGGAAATATCGAGGAATACATAAACGATTTACAGGCATAAATATCTGGTATGTAGTGAGCTTAAGCTACAAAGTAGTTAACAACAAAGCACAGCAATAGCTTCAGCATCAACATCAGTAATTCGCTTAAGTATTGCTATTTGTCGTGTCATTATTATAATTTTTCCACTTCTTTCAATTCAGTTTTTGCTCTCCAATAACGTGGGTATGCTATTTTATGCAAGAATTTCTATGAATTGGTTGGGCATAAATCATAAAACAAGAAATAAAATTGGGATCTAGGTTAGCATATCGTTCGGTTCCTCAAAACCATTGAAATAAATAAATAATTACATGGAATAGATTGCAGAAAAATCATAGTAACATACACATGTACAGTACTTGTAGCTTTAGTCGGGCGGTAGGCTTCAAGCTTTTCGTTTATTATTGCAACCACAAGGCTTCAAGCTTTTCGTTTATTATTGCAACCACAAGGAATTTTTTGATGAGACTTGATGGGAATATTAACAGAGGCTTGCTGGCATCAGATTTATTTCTTTCACGTACATACATGCAGTCAGTCAATAAAGTTAAGGTACAAGGCGAATTTTTTACAATATCGGAAACTATTTAAAAAAAATTTTTTCGCAAATTTTTTATAAAAACATGGTTAATTCTACAACAAAAAACCCCAAAAAATTCAGAGTTCCAAATCTTTTGCAAAATTACAGAAAATTCAGCAAATTTTCATATCCAAATATTGCACTTTTTATTTACACTCTTTAGAAAAAGTTGAGTACACAGTTTTTAGCCCATTCAATTTTAGTATAACAAAGTGCAAGTTTGAGGTAGCTAAGACTTACCATTGATTTTTAGCAATTGTTTTTGTTGAGCATGTCGCTCATTTTCTCCATATAAAATAGTGTTAGATATATTTTTTTTTTACGGAAAAAATATGTGACACCTTCCACAAAAAAAAAAAATGCCAAAAATCAATGGTAGGTCTTAGCTTCCTCATACTTACACTTTATAGTAAAAATTTGAATGGGCTAAAAACCTATATACTCAACTTTTTTCTAAAGACTGTAAATAAAAGGTGCAATATTTGAAGGAAATTTTTCAGAATTTTCTTTAATTTTGCACAAAGTCTAGAACACTGATTTGTGGGGTGTTTGTAGTAGAATTAACCATATTTATATTGAAAATTAGCGAAAAATAAAATATTTAAAATATAGTTGCCCGTATTGTAAAAAATTCGCTGTACCTAAACTTTATTGATTGATTGTATTTGTATTTGCCTAAGGCTATTCAATGGCTAATGAGTCATTCGCAATTGCACGCTACGAATGTCACATTACACTGAAGTGCTCCCGACTTAACCCTCGTGTGCCTAACCGACTATCCGGGTACCCATCGACACATATTGTATCAAATAACTTTTTTCTTGGAACAATTTTTTAAAATCCTGCCCGATTCCCACGATTTGACTGATTTTACATAGAGAAATGCATTTAAAATATTTTATATTCCTTTTCAGCCCAGAAAATATTGAATTTGAAAAAAATGTACTCGCATAGTCTAACCGGGTACCCCGGTACCCACATACAGAATAGGTGGAAAGATGTATCAACAAACTAAAAATTACTAAAATACTAAAAATATATTTTTTTTAGGCACTAAAAATAAAAAAAAAATATTAATTATGAAAAAGTGTACATTTGCAAACGTGTAAATAAAAATTTTAGTCTGTTATTTACATTCGTAAAGTTATTTTATCTATACACGACATTTAAGAAAGTATGTAAAAAAACACAAAAATTTCCAAGTGGCTCTTTTGTAATGACCGGCAATACGTCAGGCTGCTCCAAGTAAACGATCGATATTAAAGTAAGCCGCTTTCTGAAAGTAATACATATTTGTTTCAAAGGTGTTCTAGTTTATTCCTCGGATATAACAGAACATAGAGACCTTCTTATTTCTTCCGTTTTCAGCTTAATGTACAAAACCTTTTCGGAACTCACAAGTATATACGCTTCGACTCATTACAGATTATACCGAACTTTGTATTCCAAAGGTCCTTGTATATAATGCTATCGTCGGATTTGTATAAAAATATCTTCTTTAACAATAAATAAATCAATATGCCACTAATACCGTGGATTATACTAAGTAACAGGCGCCTTTTAGTTATAAATACGTAAGTGGGTACCCAGGTACCCCGGTTAGACAACAACGTTAATTAATGTGGTTGGGCACACTAGGGTTAAACTAAAGTAAAGTAAAGTAACTTTGGAAAGCAGTTTTTATTTCCGTAAATTGAACTCTCCGATACTACTTGTTGTCTGTTTACACAACGAATGCAGAAAATTCCACATTCAACTATGTCACCAGATATTTTTATGCTTATAACGAAATTTGTGTCCTGAAAAATTTATTATAAGTTCTTAAATGCGCACATAACAGTCACAAATGAATGCATATCACGAGAACAAATTCATTACAAGTGTTTTTTTTTCTTCATACGAAGCAACATTTTTACAGTTTTTTGTAAATGCGCAAAAAATCAGGGCTGACGGCAACACTCGAGTGGTTTGACCGCACTTTTAGCAAAAATTAAAACTACTAGTGCAGCACGCGTACGATGAAAATATTTCTAGAAAGCGATTTGCGTAATTTCAGTTGCACTAACACCGCAGGTTAGAATAGGCTGGGTTGCGCCGTCGTCTATAAGATAATTAAATTTCACGTCGATCTGCCCGTGGCGATTTTTTAAAAAGGCTCTATTTTTTTTGATTTGTTTATGTTGAAAAATTAAAAAAAAAATTATTTTACGTTTGAATGCTTCTACTGTTTTGGAAAATACTTGACATTAATTTCAAATGCCTGCAATTATTTAAAAAATTATTCAAAAACATTTATTTATTTATTATTTAATTTAAAAATTTATTTAATTTGTTATCTATACTAATATATATTTTGAAAGCCATTTTTGCTTGCTGAAAATACATAGCAGTCTATTAAAAGATGACAATTAACAGGAGCAGTGTTGCACTAAAGGTTAATACTCGGGACTTTTCAAACTGCGCTCGTATATAAATCGTTTTCTTCGTTTCATGACCATTTTAACTAGTCAAACAAGTTACATACATCACTAATAAACGTTTTTAAAACCAACTTGTGTACTGTTAAGCGTCGATGTTATCACACTTTACGTTTTCCCCCCTAAAAAATCTAGATTACCTTAAAAGCCAACGCTTTGAAAAGTAATTGGTTGGCATATCTGATTTGTACCACGGTCGCTTCACTACTTGTAATTGAATGGTCACAGTCAAACTTCTTCGTGTATAAACATACATACATACATTTATACATACACAAGTATGTTTTACGCGAAATCAGCGTTGTTCGAATGTTTTTTTTTTTTTTTTTTGTAAAAACTCATTTGCATTAAAAATTAAGTAGTACTCGGAGGCAAATGTAAAATAGGGGAGCAAAAGCTTCTAAACAAACAAAGTATGTCAAATTTCAGTTTAGGTTACTCGGTATGCTTGGCTGATAATGTCTTCCAGTCACCCAACCGCCTACACCCTACACCTTGCGTGCCTTCTCTCCGCTCCCAAAACAACCGGCCATTGCACAGGAAATTAAAAATGTTACATTTTGTGGCATTGTTGTCTCGTTACCATAACAGCGAATTGTTTCTATTACAATTATTGTTGTTTTATTTTTTTCAATCTTCGCTGCCGCTGTCAAACATTTTAATACTCGTACTATGAGTAGCTCTTGTTGTTGTATATACCATGCGCTTGACAATTTGCCAAAAATTCATTTCCTGCAAGTAAATATATGTATGTACGAACACTGAAACAAAATGTAAATTACAACAGCAACAACAATAGCGATTTTTTTTTTTATTTACATTTTTAATTACAAAGCATAATAATTTATTATGAAATTGGCTGTCGACCAAATGTTGACATTTCCAGGGAGCGAAAAAAGTTAATCACAAAAAATTGTGCACAACTGTAAACTTTTACAATAATTAAATATTTTGTATGTATGTAAATGTAGCTATGCATGATTAATTTGCGCAGATTTATTGCAACTAGAATATTCTACATACATACGTATACTTACAGATAATTAAAATGCATCATCCTTCATCTACAAATAACTAATATCGAGCTTCAAATTTGCCTAACCGTCAGCACTGCGTATATCTAAATAGTATCTCTCATTCCCAAATTGCCTATCCAAATGAATCTTAAAATGCCAAAAGTAACCAAATAACTAACTTGTGCCAACCACTCGTTCATTCAATTACTTATCCAAATTAATAGGTAATCTACAGAGAATTTCAGTAGATTGCAAGCTGAATTCGACGCATTTGTGATCGATTTTCTTAATTAAGTGTTGAGGGACAATGAAGTCGACTCCATTAAGGTGAGCAACGGTAGAAATGAGTTTCTTAAGTACACTTAGTGCTATTAAGTTAAAGCACTACATCTGTGCGTCAATGCATTAGGATGGTTTTGAATAATCAGCCGTGAAAACTTCTTAGTGAGTATTTTTGCCATTCAGGCTCGTTGGACTTTTTTCAGTGGATTTACTTGAGTATGGCACTACAATTAAGATGACGAATACTAATATGATTACCAAAGCCATATCGGTTACCATTAATAACACGATTACCACTACGATTACGATTACTGCGATTAAAGTTATGAATACGATTCAGATTAGACTTATGTTTATGATAATGACTTGTATTCATAAATATTATTCATTACGATTACGGTTACCGTTATGACTAAGATTACGACTACGATAAAGATTTTTATTATAATTCCCATTAAGATTGTGATTTGGCTATGGTTATGATTATTACTATGATTATGATTCTGATAAAGGTTATGATTATGACTAAGATTATGATTGTTAGTATGATTATGAGTGTGGGTATAGTTATGAGTATGAGTATTACTATGAGTATGAGTATGAGTATGATTATGATTCTGATTATGATTATGATTGGGATTATGAGTAAGATTATGATTATGAGTATGAGTATGATTATGAGTATGAGTATGATTATGATTGTTATTATGATTATGATTATTAGTATTACTAAGACTATGATTATTATTTTGGCTACGATTATGATTATGACTATGTAAGATAATGATTATAAGTCTGAGTATGATTATGTCTATGATTATGGGTATGAGTATGATTATGACTCTGACCACGACTATGATTACGAGTATGATTGTGCTTATGAGTATGATTATTATTATGAGTATATTAATGATTATGATTATGATAGTGAGTAAGTTGATGATGATGATTGTGAGTATGATTATGAGTATGAGTATGATTACGAGTATGATTCGATTATTATAATTATCATGATGATGATCTTGACTACGATTATGATTATAAATGTGACAGTTATTATGCGTAAGATTATCTCTATGAGTATTACAATAATGATGGCGATGACGATAAGGATTACTATAATCATTATAACAAAATGTCTATGCAAAGAGTATAATGACTTTCATAGTAATTACGCTATGATTAAAATATTTTATGACTTTGGGGACACACAAATGTTTACGTGTTGATTTTTTAGATATTCTTTACGTTTTTCAAGCTAAATTTTGCCAAAACCAACTCAATTGTTAACCGCTTGAAACTTGCTCTTCATGAGACTAAAATTGTATGGACCATAAGAGTGCAAACACCAAACTATAGTAAAGACTCAGATTAAAAAGCTAGAAATCTTCATGAAAATTTGATAAATTTTTGTATACAGTTTTAAACCCTAACTTACATGGTTTTATCTAAAGCTTCGACATTATTTTTATGGAAAAATAACAAAATTGTAATTAAAAAAAAGAAAAAACAATCAACACGTAAACCCTGGTGTGAGTCACTGTATGTATTTATAGTTTATAAGGTACTAGATAACCAGAAAAACTTGCAGAAAATGATGAGTTTTTACAATTTCACTACTTATTCTTACTTTGCACGGTACAAGCTTTGTGCTAACGAAAGCGAGGTCAAAGGTCAATACATCTCCTTACCAGTCATTAAATGAGGGGAAAGCAATTGTAGTTGAGCGATGACGCTCAGGGCTTTGTAGTAGAAAAACGTTCCGGTCTAACGACTCAGAAACCGCCAAATTTCTATCCCTGAAACGTCCTCGGAGGGTGAGAAACAATTGAGATCAAAAGTGCTTAAACCTTAAGTTTGCGAAAGCTGGAAATATTTCAGTTGCTACATTGGCGGCCCGGGGTGATGGCAGTGACCGGTTGGAACTCCCAGACCAGTTGACTTTTTAATTTAAGAGCTCTCTTGGCTAACTCGTGGCTAGTAGGGCTTAGCCACCTTGCATTTGAAGGTTTCCGCCCCGCGTTCCCTGAGCTGACTAAAAGCCCCTCTGTCCAGAAGTTTAGCAAACGTAAGGTACCGTTTTCTCATCACAATTCATCAAGAGCACCTTGTATTGCTAGCTCACGGGCCATCAAATCAATAAATGTAAAATATCGACACCGTTTAATAAATTATAAGTGGTCCTTAATGCTCTTAATTTTAAGGAATCAATACAAAGCGATGTCAAACATTTCTTTAAATTAACTTTTAATCTCATATTATTTAAAATTGTACTTGCAATAGTATTATAAATAATATCCTATTTAATACATATGTAATGTTTACTAAGCGCATAAATTTCGAATCCAACAAACCGTACATGAAACGCAACATGTAAACAGCAAATAATTCCAAATTTTTTTTCGCTTAAATATACATTTTTACGTATCTACATAGTATGTATGGGTATAGTAGTGCAACCAATATTTATTAAAACGCAATTTAAGTTAGCATTACAAAAAAAAAAACCCCGCTGTCAAAAAAGTGTTAAAAGAGTAGCATCAAAAAATTTGAGATTTTTTTTCCTAAATTGAGAAGTAAATGTTCCTAGTTGGTTTTATGTGGCAAAGACATTGTTGGATTTCTATGAGGGAATTCTATGAAGCCTTCTTTCGATTAACAATATATTTATTTGAGCTATGATTTAATTGAAAGTAGAAACAAGGGTAATTGACTCGCTTTTTCCAAACCTGTTTCAACCGGTTTTTTTTTAAATATTTTTAGGCGTTTTTTTTTAATCTTTATTTTCCAAATACTGGGTAAACCAGATTTTCCTATTTTATTTATACACAAAAACCTAAAAATTTATATATTTATTTTATTAAAACTGAAACGAGTAACGTTTTATTAATTTTATATCTGAGTAATCGAAATTTTTCAACTGCTCAAAAATACTTAAAAAATAAAAGCCAAACGGAATGAAAATCTTCACTTTTTTTGTTGTAGCTTTTTATCAAACTCTGTCTAAATATGTAGGTGAATCGACTACATGCTGTCTTCATTCACATCATCATCGGGACAGGGTCAAGAAAATACCACATCCGATGGGTTTAGAACTTAGTTGGACGGATGTTAGTGGGCGTATGAAGTATCGTCAGGACTGCAATAACCAGAATAGAGTTCTGTCGAAAATGGCGAGCCTCACGAAGATCTCCAATCATGCAATTCAGGGGATGATGATTGATTTTCAATGAATGTCCTGTCTATAATAACTGAACTATATTTGTATAGTCGGTATGGTTCAGAGGATGGTGTATTCTCATTCCCAAGACAGTCGATTTTACATGCTGGAGTTTTTTCCGACACATGTTTTGTTGGTTTAGCGATCTAATCTTGGTAAGAGCGGTGAGCCCCTTTAAGTGTGAATTTTCAACAAATTTTTCGCTGTTTTAATTGTATTCTAAAATATTTCGATTTTGCTGATTTTTAAAATAAAGCTATACTTCTGGGGAATCGTTTTTTTGTTTATTAATTGCCAGCCTAGTAGATATCTATTAGGGGCCTTTGAAATTTATTTAAATTTTTTTGTTTAAGATGTTGCTTATTTTCTCCAAATAAAAAAAAAAAAAATTCAAACATATTCGTATGGAAGAAATTGAGTTATATCGTCAACCAAAAAAATTGCCCAAAATCAACGCTAAGTCCAAGGTGCTTCAAACATTTTTTTAAACATTGCACAAAGACTAAGACTTGGATTTATATGGCATTTTAAATAAATAGTTCATTCTGTATTTATAAAAAAAATATTTAAACAAAAAATAATAAAATAAATATTCAGGGCGCTTGTCAATATGTGAGTGTCATATGGTTATGATAAGCACTATATTTACATATGTATGTATTTGTATGGACTTACAACTCAGTAGATTTTTCCTATACTTACTGCGCCTTATTATCCATTTTACAAATATTTTATTTCAACATGTAGTCTGCATACATACCTACATATGTATACGTCCATACGTTTGTTATGTTTATTATTAAATGTCAACAATTGATCCATAAAATAATATTATTAACAGATTATGTAGTTTGTATGCATTTGCAAAAACGCTTATGGTTGCGTTTATTTCACTAATAATAAATATTTCAAAATCAGCTGCTCACGCATGTTACTCATACGCCACCCCCAACGCATCGTAGCAATATAATGTTGCGACAGCGGCATTTAATAAACAACAACGCTGAATTTATGCGACCAAAGTTTCGTAGTAATGTTTCCAAATGTTTTTAGTTATGTTCCTGAAATTCGTGTGTTTGTTAATTGTAAATTTTGCATGCCACGAACTTTGTATTAAGGTGGACCTTATTTGTATTTATTTTGAGTAGGAAATATTGGTAACTACAATTACAAAATTTCTTTAAGGGACTAAGTAGAAGTTGATAATTGTAATTTGTGGTTGTGCTGAAATATACGAAGAAAACATTTTGATGCTTCTAACGGTACATATCCAGATTTTGGGAAAGCTGTCCTGCTGCATATTTTTTAAAAGTTGGTTCTGCCAGTTTTAGCATGAAAGTGGGTTATATATAGACCAAAACGACGGTTATCGGGCAGAAGCTAATGTGATTCAGAGTAGCTGCAAAATTATTAGATAAAAAAATTTTTTTTTGCACAAATTGGACCACTCTAGTGTGCATTACATTCCGGTTGTCAGATTGTAACTTAATTTTACACAAATATATATATGCATACACACACACATATATTTATATGCATATATGTATGTATATGTAGATGCATGTGTAAAACATAGCAAGTGTTAAACTACTATAAATTGCAGTTGTTTTATGTTCGCTTGAATTATTGCGCTGCGCTTTGCCTCAGTACTTTTTGCCCGACTATATTGAATTAGTATTATTGTTGTTGCTGGTGGCGTCCTTTTTAAAATTTATGCTGTTTATATTATTGTAATATATCTATTTGTTTGTGGTTTAGTCCCTCACGCCTGCTTGTTATGTTTATTCGCCCAGTAAACGTGTTAATAATAACCAGAAAATGTAGAAAATCTGTACAAAAAGAATATAATTTATTACTTAGTTATAAATATATTAATACTAAATTAAAGAAAAACATAAATATTTTTGCATTTATGCATAAAAAAAAAAATCAATGTAAATTTCAAAAATAATAGTTTGAAAATAATGAGTTGTATTCTAGATTTCGTACGAATCGAAAATTAGAAATTTTTGCATAGAAAATTATAGGAAAATGTAATATAATATATAACATGTTATTGGACTATTTATATTTATTTTGTACATACGAGCAATTCGCTGGAAAAATGCTATATTGAAAAGTTGTTTTTTTTTGTTGTAACAAAACTTTGTTTAACAACTCCCACCCACTTCACACTTTCTAGGGATTTTTTTTTTTTATGGGACCGTTCAGAATTTTCACGAGATTTTGAAAAGGGTTCTTTGAGGCCTTTCAAAATTTTCTGGGAATATCCAGAATTTTTTTTTAACTTTAGGAATCTGCGGTTTTTTAGGAGTCTTTCGGGATTTTTTTGGGACGGATTTATGTAGGAGTGTTCAGCATTTTCATGAGATCTTGAAAATGAGAACATTCGTAAAGAAACGAAAAGGGGTCTTTGAGATTTTTAAAATTTTTCTTCTGATTTTTTGGGATTTTTAAAAAAATTTTCGAGATTTTAGGAATTTTCGGTACTAAACTGGATCGTTCGGGATAGTTCGATATTTATTTTTAGGAGTCTCCTGGGATATTTTTGGGATCGTTCAAGCTTTTTCCAGAGCTTTTCGATACGCTTCGTTTTTTCTGCTATTCGCTTTAAATTTCTTTTAGGTTCAAAAGTGCAGTAAGTTAAAAATTCAATATTATTTTTTGAAAGAAACGCCTATATTGTTTGCGTTTTATATTAACGACGTTGATGTGGATTAAAGACTTCCTTTCGGGTTTAAGATTTTTTTTTTAAGTTTTCTCCGAATTTTTTCCTCTTTTCGAGATTCTTCGTGGTTTTAATTTTTGGATCTTAAAAGACTTTTTTTTTAATATTTGGAAGCTTTTTCTAGATAATTTGTGTTTAATTTTTAAGAAATTTTTCGAATGCGTTCACGATTTATTGGAGCTTGTTTCTTT